TATTATTCCTCAGTAAAGACTATCTTTCTTCCATGAATGCAATTAAAATCAAAAAAGAAAAACCAAGCATTAGCACACGCACGCACATGAACAAATCTACACATATCTTTTAACTGTTCCTTCAAAGTTAATTTTCAGCTACAAATGCCAAAGACTAAAACAAATTCCAGCCATTTAATTTTCCTTTGATATTTCTCCCGTATTAGAAAGTATCTAGGATGGTGTCTGCCAACTGAAAAGCTTTCCACTGAGGATCTTTCCATCTACAGTTATGCTGTCTAAGGTAAAGTACTCTTCTACAGAAAGCAATGTAGTAACATAGTGTTTGCCCCTACATGCAGATTTGACCTGAAGTGTAAATGTACCAGAGAGGTCACAGTCGCTCAGACAAACATTGAAGAAATAAAAGCAATCTGTGAAATCCGTGTAGCCTAACAGTCTGGAAGTTACAGTATAAAACTGACAGAACGAGCACGTCTGCCTGTGTGATTTAAGGAGATCAAGCTGCACATCAGGAGAGAAAAGAAAACAGGAGGGGTGGAAAAAAAAAGAAGAGAAGCCCAGTGTGAATGCTCCATGTTATATACCTGAAATGAAGTCCAGATCGTTTTGTGTTATCAACTTGTCCATCACTTTCAGATTTAGAGGAACGGACATACTTCCATCTTCCTTCTTTCTGACACTGCCCGTTCCTCTCACTCTACCACATGGCATACAAGGTGTAAGAGTCATTCTAGCCCTGGAAGTTCTTATTTTTTGCATTATATTTAAATGATCATTTTAATCAAAAAACACTACTTTTGGATAGAGAAAGCATTCCATAGGAGGTGACCGTATCATTAGTGATACCACCACTTTCTCTGGGCTATCACAGAAAATGACAACGTAACATGCTATGGCTCCGCTTCAAATTACAAGTTTACAGGTGCATAACTGTAATTTCTTTGAGTATTCTCCCTGGAGTCCAGTCAGGCATAGGTGTGAGCGTTTGCAGAATCGAGACCCATACCCATAAAATCCAAAAGGTAGCGTCTTACAAATTTACCCCAGGTGAGACCTAATATGAACCATGGAAGAGAAAGGTTAATACCTTTGACACCACGCTGCAATGCATGACAGTCATGTTGTAACCAGTGGCCTGCCACTGATGTTTATTACTGTGTCACACTAGTTACAGTAAGGCTAATTGTACTGTAGAAGACAAACATTTTAAAAAATAAGTATAAAAACTTAAAGCATTGTCCCCGTGTTTTTATAAAAACAAAATCAACGTTTCTTACATTTAAAATGAGTGCTGAAAGATACAAATGAATAAAGTTATTGAGCAAATAAAAATGTATATCTGAGCTACTTTTTCATACAAATAAGGCTCAGCCACATTGTATCTCTCGTATTAACAGCATTGGGTTTTTCAAACTCAGCTAACGAGTTTTGGCAACACTGTTCTTTGCTGAATATTTCCATTGGCATCTGTCATCTGTGCCAAATTAGTCCTCAGTTTTGAAGCCGAGCTTGAAGTTGGAGGTAACTTGGAAATCGACGTTATAGCACCAGTGCTCTCTGTAATTCTCTTCGCTGAGGCCTTTTCCCCAGTCGGAGGCTTTGGCAACCGTCTCCTTAGCCAGGGATGCCGCAAAGCCTGGCTGGGTGTCATACGGATAGCAGGATCCCATTCTAAACACTGTTTTAAGAAGTCAAGGAACAGGGGATCATCACATCCCTTTAATGCGTTACCCCATTCTCTGCTCTCTGGTGGGCCACGTAGTTTTCCCCTCCGAGAGCGTCCACCATTAAGTATGACAGAGCCATCAGACAAGGTTGTGATGCTGCAATAGCGGGGATAACCCTTAGAGCTCACAAAGTTTTTGGCTCGCTTGGATGAATCTAAGAGTTTTGGAGAAGGCATGCCCAATAGCTCAATCATACAAGCCAGCTGGTCTCCTTCATCTTCTCCAGGTAAAAGCGGATAGCCGGTGAGAAGCTCTGCTAGAATACAGCCCAAGCTCCACATATCTATGGGCATCCCGTAACGAGCACCAAGGATGACTTCAGGTGCACGGTAAAAACGTGACTGAATGTAAGTGTAGACACGCTGATGCTCATAACAACTTGAGCCAAAATCAATCACTTTAATACCACTTCTACCCTGTTGCTTCAACAGAATGTTCTCAGGTTTAAGGTCACAGTGAATGATTCTGTTTTTGTGCAAAGCATCCAAGCACTGTAAGATTGAGTGGGCAAACTTGCGGACCAAAGGCAGGCTAAAGCCCTGAAACTTGTTTTTCTTTATTAATTCATACAGGTTCATGCTCAGCAATTCAAATGTCATGCAGATATGGCTGCGGAATGTGAAGTTTTCCAACATGTGAATAACATTCATGTTGTTATCCTTATCTTGTTTCCGGAGATGCTCCAGGATCTTAATTTCTTCCGCAGCTTGGCGGTGGAAACGTTTTTCATTTCTCACCATTTTTAGTGCCACGTGCTGATGCATCTTGTGATCATAAGCCTTCACCACCTGCCCAAAACTTCCTTTCCCTATAACTTTCAGGACTTCATACCTATACGCAATATGATCGTGGGGTACTTGTATGTAAGACCCTTGGTCATCATCATACCCACAATTGTTTGAACCACCAATCACGCCTTGCCGCTTCTTTGCATTTGGACCCAAAAAGTATATTTCAGGGTAGCTAAAAATTTCATGATGCTCAAAAGCTGTTAATTTTTGCATGTATTGCTTCATTGCCTGCTCTGGTGTCATAACGGAGGCTTTCACCTTCCCTGTTCCATCTGTAGATTTTAAAGAGCTGGAGCTCCCTTGTCGCCTGTGAGCACTCTCTGACTGTCTGTCCTGAACCACTGGCAATCCAGATTTGCCGAGCGTTGTAAGTCCATTTGGCTGTGTCGTTAGAACCGTCCTCTTGTTACTAGGTGCTCATTCATTGTGTGCTTACTGCCTCCAACCTAAAATTGAAAATAAATACATACCCAGTTAACAAGAAAGGCATGGACTCTATGCTTCACCATTCATTCTGCAACCCGCCATCCTGCCTAAATCACCTCAAAACTAAGTATTTTCTTAAAAATCAGCTGTCTACAGATAATCTAAAAAGTAGAGTGTATATACTGTGACACTGCCAGATGCTATTAAATTGTCCAGATCCTTGTTTCTCAAATGCCACTTCCCTGACTCTCTAAAATGTTTGCAACAAGGCAATCATAGATGTGCTACCACGATAAGCCAACAGTTCCTCCAAGGAATCTTCAGGGCAACAAACAGTCCTGTCACATCGAAGAAGCATGCCTGAGGGACATTACATTAGACTTTACAGAACACAGTAGTAGTTTTATTGATGCTGGAGATCAATGTATCATGCCTGCTAGAAATTACATGGCTAAGGCTCTCCTAGTCACCTGTTCTCAGAAATCAAGATTTTAACTTGTTCCTAAATTTGCTGTGTATCAAAAGCCTCATATACAATTTTAAGCAATAAGGAATGTGCTGTGACATGCACAAGGAGGAAAAGGACCTGCACATTTCTAAGTTCAAGAGATGCCACCCACTGCTTGCAATTGAGACAGTCACCACTCAGCACAGCGTTCAGATCCATGAAGCATAGGCACATCCTTTAGCACTTTCCCAAACCAGTCTTCGAATAACTTTTAACCAAGGTGAGATTTGGGGCCTGATATAGACTTGAGCAGAAAGAAAATCCTTGCCTTGAAGACCATACAAGTAACTTTACTTTAAAGGAATGGGAAAAAAGATTAGTTGATGTTTAGAAATTGCATTTGTTCTTGACAGTTTTCACAAACAGCAGCATTCAGCATTTTCAAGCAAAGACACACCGGAAGTACCGGGGTGTGAAAACAACTATTGCTCAAAACCTGTTATTTTTAAGGAGAAACGAGAAATTTACAAGCATATAGTTGCCACTAAAATAGCTGTCCTTAGAAATCCTCCTTTGCTCTGAAGTGGAGGATAATTAGTTTGTCTTCTGCCTGGTCTTATACAAACGTGGGAAGAATTCCCCTGCTGTCTCTCCAGCTGATTCACCAGTCTCAGTATTTATGCCACATTACCAACCAAAAGTTCACCGATACTGCAGACAGATGATCAAGCCAAGGTTGAGAGCACTTTTAATCTGAACCTTATTTTTTCTAGACAGCTAAGGAAAACACATTCCCTGTTCACTTAAGGTTGCTGAAATGAAATAGGAAATGACAGTTGTGTGCTCTGATATGAGGCAATGAAATCTGTGCTGCAACCACAGAAGTGCTTCCTAATGAGAAAACCAGGACATGCAACGCAGACTCTAGCATACTTTGTGCTTCTGTTAAGGTATCAGTCTGATACAGCAGAAGCATGTTTTTGAAAATTCAGTAACTTGTTCCCAAGGAGTAGCCAGCTGGACAGGAGCTTCACCTTTGGATAATATTTTGAAATCTGCAGCTCTGAAACTCACACAACATAAGAATAACAGCCCTCGGGCACTGGTTCTGCTGAGTTCACTGCTCTTCTGATTCCATTTTGACTCAAGTTGAATAACTGGTCCATTTTATTTCATCATTGCAGTTTGTGTACATTTATTTGCAGAGCAATTTGGGCTCACACTATCAAATTTGATCAATCTCATAGAAAGCGTTACCACAAAATTGCAATTCAAAGCAAAGATGTTTATAACATTTAAGCACAGTGAAGATATACAGAATATCAATATTAATTCTCTTCCTAGTTTGATGTCTCAAAAGCACCGGGAATTAAATCATCAAGGGAACTTAACAACCCTCTCATGCCTATAGGGAATTCCTTCAGGTCAAGTTTGAAGCAGACTGCAGTAGCAGTTTCCTGAAGGTTGCCGTGATCCTCTATATAAACAGCAGCTACTGAGCAAAAGAAAATTCAGCCTCAAGAGCTGCTACATGACGCATCTCAGAAGAACCAGATCTAGTTAGTAAGATGTGTCGGAGGTTCAGCACGTGCAGCATTGCAAAACCGTGTAAGTAAGAAATGCAGACTACCTGTACAGACTACAAGAACTCAAGCTAGGGAATTCAAGGTACAAATATTTCTTCTGCGGCACTGGTTGAACAACAAAGCAGAACATATCCAGACGAACTGGGAGCGGACAATACTAACATACAGACAGCGAGGAAGAAAGAGCATAGGGGAGAAAAATATCTTTAAGAATTTCCTAACCCAAGTACTCATTGCCACAGTTCACATCTTGAATTTTTTTTTCCACTCGAGTCACCTGTTTTCAGAGTTAACTATTTTCTGCCCTTCCTAAGCATTGCTTGTTTCAATAAATGTACTGGGGAATTCTTCAAGCTTCAGTTCTTTGCTTTGTATCACAGCTTGGAAAAAACCCCAAACATTTATCCACTCTCAACAGGGACTAGAGAGTTCTTGTTCCTAAAAGCATGTTTGAAAACACATCCTGAAGTGTAAACAATGTAGCTCTGCTTCCCGCACCTTCAGGCAGCCTCATGGTTTCTTTTGCTGCTCACAGGTTGGCTTTTTTTTTCCAAGCAGCAGAATGAAATCACCAGCATTATCCCAGCTTCACCCCAAATCCAAAGTGACCGGTTTTGCCAGTTTCAGTCAGCTGCTGCTTGGGAATGCAAATGCAGATGCAGACAGTAGCACTGGTTTTCTTTGTGGAAGAAAAGACACCAAATTAGCACAGGCTCTATTCCAAAAGCTGTGAGGGAGAAAAGATCTCAGTTTTTCTTTCAAAAATCCCAACAGAAGTTTCAGAGCTATCAGACACATCACAACGACAAAGTCAGTACGAAAAATTGATTTTCCCCATCTCAGGGTACTCCCTGCACAAGAATCACCATCTCTTCTATGTCCAACCTGGATGAGGGTTAGATTCTCACCAGCCCCTTGCTCTGTCTATCTACTTCTGGGCGCCGGGTGTCTGAGATTGCTGTCAAGTTCAGGCTCGCAGTGCTTACAAGCTACGCAGGCTTCACCAGTGAATTCCCTGTAAATTCCCTGAACCACAACTAATGGGCTTGGGAAGCTACAAAGGACTACAGCCTTCTTAGGGCAGTACTGAACTGTTCACGGTACACAGAAGCTCCATCAGCCTTTCACCCTAAACCATAAGCCTGAGCGGTTTATAACACGTCTCCCTTTTGCTGCTGCAGACAGGCCTGTAAATTCCAGAACCAACAACCTACACAGCTGACAACCTGCGCGCACTTATGCAGCTTACTTATTATATATTTTACTGCCTGTGCTCAGACCCATCTACACCTTCTAAGATTTACATATTTTTATAGCACACAGCTTCCAAACCTTACTGATGTACACATTTCTCCATAAAACATATTGAAGTAACAGGCAAGCTTGAACTCGGAGAACAAATCTTCCTGCATCTTCCGGCAACATCAATTACAAACCAGCAAATGTTACAACAGGGTTTCTTGCCTCTGTCAGTAGTTTTTCGTAACTTCAAAATTGCTGCTATGATTTTGCTTTAACTTTGGTTTGCTCAGTTTATGGAAGCTGATGGCTATGCTGAAAACATTCACTTAACCTTTGAAGTAGAGATACCAGGCAAAACAAAAAAGCCCACTTTTTGGGGTTGGGTGGGAGTGTTTGGGGTTTGGTTTTTTGTTTTGTTTTCACAAATGGGTTTAGGGACCGAAGTAGAACAGTAACTTACTATGTGGAGACCACAGACCTGTAACAACATAGAAGTAGCATAAAACTGAGTCCACCCTGCTAACAAGGCAAAGCAATTGACAATTCCTTTGTGGTAACACTCAGCCAATGCAATGGTCTGTTTCAAGACTCCTACAAGACTACGACTATAGGACCGAACACCACAGGAGCATATACCTCTTCTCAACTTTGTCTTCTAAAAGCATCAAGACATTATATGGTTATATTGTATTCCATCTTCGTACAAGTCACTTGGTGTGGTATAAGCACCCCATGAAACTATTCAAGACAGACATATGCTTCAGCTATGTATTATCATTTTACTTTGAGTAAAACCCCAGAAAAAAAAAGATTTTGCTGTCAATCAGAATCTAAAAAGGGTTATAAAATGAATCTTAATAATAAAGCAATCATGAAGGCTTGCTGAAATACTGCATAGGAATAAGATGTCTTTACCTGCTATTACTTTGCATAGATGGGGACAAGGGAGAAATAGTATTCCAAAGTAGTAACTTAATTAAAGAATACACGTTACACTATATACCGCTTTCTTTACAGCATTTCTGGGCATGCCACTTTCAGCCCTTCTGTGTCTAACATGCTAGAGGCATATGGTATCAGGTGTAGCACGCTTCACTGTCTATTTTGTTGACTGCAGCCTGAGCAAATATACAAAAGGCCTTTCTTTCCTTGATAAATGAATTCAACAGCATTCCTCTGTTCAGAACTAAAAATAGCTGCTAATTAGTATGATAACAATAATGCAGGATTATCATAATGGTTTTATTATGAGTATGGGCTTTATACACCAAAAAAGACTAAGCCCTTGTCCTAAAGAGCTTGTGGCTCAACAAGAGCCGTAGAAAAAACACACCATTTGGATTTTTTGCTGCTGTCATATCTGGTCCATATAAGCTTATTTTTTGAAAAGCTGACTTTGACTTTATATAGCAAATATTTTCACAGACAGAACTAGGCCTCAAGAGTGATACTGATTCATAAATTTTTCTCTTCCTGTCAGGCCTGTGCAGGTGCAGTGAGTCTGAATGCTTCTGGGACACCCGGCGTGTGTTAACGCATGTTGAGACCAAAAAGGACAGTCAATGCACACTACATTGAACCCTTCAGGTAAGCTGAAGTGTACACCTATGAGAGTACTGCGGTCCCCAAAGCACAGTCCCCAACTGCTGGAGCCCAAATTTTAGAGCCCATTAAAAGTTAAGATAGCTTCATATTCCCCCTAGACACAAGTTTTATGTAGAGGAAGAAACATTCAATGAAATCTAGATACAGCAAAGTCCAGGTCATGACTCTATAGTTATTTCCACTCAAACGTGACAGCATTTCTGTGGCAATTTAGTACATGAAAACACCACAGTGGGAAGGTATTTTCTTTGTTTTTACCTGCTTTAAAGCAGCTGCCCACAATAAAAATTTGCAGCATGTGACCCACCAGATCTTCATATTAACAGAGCCCAGGAATCTCTCTTGCATTGTAATGTAAACTAGTTTTTAAAAAATTTTAAATTTAATGTTTCTTAAGATTAAGGCTGAATGAGGGGTTCAAAAGTACATGGACAGACATTTAGCCCTGGTAGCAAAAGAAAGCAG